TTGCAGTTAATAACTGGGGACATCCAGCTCTAGGACTAAAATTTAAGCACTCAGAAAGGGTAGCCAAATCTAGTATTTAGGACAATGTCAGTAAATACCTGGAGATCATTTTTCAAAGTTGAATCAGGATCAAGTTTTGGGTCAGTAGGCTTAATTTTGTCTGAGGTTGTGACTCAGGCCCACCACTTGGAGTTCTATAGGCAGGCTTGGAAATTTGTGAATTTGTTCAGTAGTGTCCCTCCCCGTACAAAGCAATTGAAAATGCTCACCACAGTGTGTCACCACAGCTAATGCTGCACCACAACTTGAGCATTTCTCTACAAGTCAGATCCAGTAATTTTTCTTTTGGCCATTGATTTTTTACAGCACCTGCAGTGTTTTGGTTTTGCTCCAAAGATCATCATCTTACTTTGAAGTCTCCTGACTGGGTTATGTCTAACCCGATCCTGTGGAGGCAAGGGACTGAATAATTACTTTATCAGTGCCATATTAAAAGCAGTCCAAAGACTATTTATGCTGCTCATTAAAGTCATTGGGAATTTGGCTGGGCCAGAGCTCCCTGCTTTGGTCATGCAATAGGGAGAGGAAAGCATTCCAAAAATTGTTATTTTGCAATTACTTGTGCTGTGGTGTCACAAGAGGATTTGATTATCACCCTTCTATGTTTAAAACTTAGATACCACAAAGCAGGACATTCAGTACCCCCAATGTTTGTCCTCCAAAGCATTGATTAACTGCCAATTTTCAAAAGAAAATAACCAGAAAGTAGCAGGGAAAATAAAAGGAAAAAAAATTTAAAAAGCAGGACAGATAATAAAAATTTTGATTTAAAAGTCAAAATTCTTAGAGTTGAAGTTAAAACTGTGTTCAAATTAGAGGTATTGCTAGGTTAAAGTATTCAAAGTTCTGAATTATACTCCTTACTGCCTCTTGTAGTACCAAGGAATAAAATTTTGGGGCCTCTAAAGTCATCAGGTTTTTGATACTGGATAAGGACAACAATTTTATTTTTTATTTTTTGTACACTGACAAATTTGATCCTACTGCACACTACCAAAACAGAGCAAATGTCCTGACTGGAGACTGCACTGCTGCAAACACAGGAACAGGAAAGCTCATGCACACTCACATTTGGAGTAAGAAATCCACTGGGCTGGGTGTGCTGCCTTGTCAGACAGGAGGAGAAGACACTCAAAGGCTCAGCCTTTTGGCATGGGATTGTTAACATCAAAATAGAGATAAATTCTCCATCTCTGTGTCTCTTCCTTGGAAAGAAAGAGTTTTATGTTTATCTTTAAGACAAGGCATTCTGAATTTGTGCCAAACTGATGTATGATATCAAGCTTCATTTTAAACGCATCTAGAAAACAGACTGGAAATGAGTTGTTTGCACGTTGCTCTCTGTGACTGTGCTTGGAATGGAGGTGGCTCTCCTTTAAATAACCTCTCAGGAGCTCAGAGATCCGGGCAGTTGTGCATCAATTAGCAGGATGCATTGCTGAGTGTGAGCTGCCAGGAAATGCAAGGGGACAAATCAGAGCGTTGAGGTTTCCACCATCATTTTGCCTTCCTGCCTCTAACTACAAATCAGCTTCCTTGTGACTCACGGCATGAGAAGTTGGTGCATTTCTGCAGATCCATGATAAGATATTTTTCTTTAGTAAGAAATGCAGTTAGACTCTGCATTCTGAATCTGTTCCTGCCAGGCCCTAGATGCATTAGTATTCCACTGGCAGCTGCCTGTAGGTAGGAATATTGTTTTTGTCCATAACCAGAGGGAACAATCAGACTAAGCCGTTCCCCAGCTATAAACCAGCCAAAGTAATTGGGTTTAATTTTAATTTTTGTAATAGCTTTAAATTAATAGGAGCAGCTGCTGCCACAGTGTGTGGGTGTCCTTTTCCAGAAGGCATAGAACAAAAAAGGGAAAGAGTAAACAATAGTGTGTCTAGGACACAAAGGTTAATTCAAGAACTGAGCAATGTCTTTTCCTTATCAAAAACTCAGTTGGTGATATCTAGCACTTTGTCTCTTCTCTTTCCTTTTCTTTCCCTTTTTTCTTTTCTTCTTTAATTCCCTGATAAGATCTCAATCTGATTAAGCTCCTGTGTGTAAAGATGTGTTGTTGGTATCTAAATGCTAACTCTCTTTCTCTGTATGACTCACAAATAGATTAGCAGTGACAAAGTGCTAGGAGAGATAAAAATAGATTAGCAGTGACAGGAGTACTATTATAATTATTTTTGGAAGATATGGCTTGAATTAAGAGTTTGGGCACTTTTTGCCCTGAGAGGGTGAATTTAAACCTAGGAACTGAGGATGGTTTCTGCTGTTGTGTCAGACACCAGATAGTGAAATGTCAATACCAGATGTCCTAGACATCAAGATTAGCCATAATAGCCAAATGCAGCCATAAAGTGATGTGTCAAAGTGGATAATAAAACAGATGCTTAGCTTTTATAATGAAGGGGAAAGGGAATGAAATATCAAAAGTGCCTTTAATACATTAACAAAGTTGTCTTCAACTTGCTTAAAAGTAGAAAGTTATTGAACCAAGGAGAACTATGTGTCATTTAAACATTAACTATCAGCAGATGAATTTCAATTAGCATTAGCCTTTCTAAAATCCTGAATTTCCTCTTATTGGTCTCATTTTACATGAAATTTTTATAGCACAAAGTGAGGCTTGTCCTTTATTATTTTCCCCATGCTAATTTGGAAACAAATAAAGTTCAACAACTCAGCGACACACTGTTTAAACTTGCATTATGGTTTGAGGACTGGGAGCTGGAATACATTTACCCACTGCCATATCATCTGCTTGATTTGAGATCAAATGAGGGATATCCTATAGCACTCCAGAGTAAGGGAAAATGATAGAAATATGTTAAGATACTGAAGAAAACCATTAGGTAAGAGGGTTGCATGCAGATGGCTGGTGGCATTTTTTCCCTACTGATACTTTTTTAAAAGAATAAAAGGTTTGTTTTCCTGTCTTTTATATTTGTGCGTTAAATAGAATTTCCAGATCTTAATGGTAAGCAAATGTCTTATTTAACAAAAAAAATCTTTAAACCACAGATTTCACTAGGTTGGAAAATTCCTTTAATATCATTGAGTCCACCTTTTATCCTGGCAATGCCAAAACACATCCCCAGGTGCCACATCTACACATCCTTTAAATACCTCCAGGAATGGTGACTCTACCACATGCCCCAAAAGCCTCTTCCAATGCTTGACAACCCTTCCATTGAAGAAATATTTCCTAATATCCAATCTAAATTCGAGGTGTGGCCTCACAGTGCCCAGTACAGATGGACAGTCACTGCCCTGCTCCTGCTGCCACACCATTGCTGGTACAGGCCAGGTGCACTGGGCACAGCTGGCTCATGTTCAGTCATGATGGTGAAGTGAGTTATTGGGGTCCTGAATGTTCAAGAAGGAGGGCATTCAAAAGGGCAGATAAATTCTTTTTCTGAGTGTAATTAACTGCATCACTGGTTATTTTGCCTTCTCAAGATCTCAATTCCTTTCTGTTTCTCTTTGTATATCCTTGCTGGTCAGACTCATTAACTGCTGCTAATTGACAAACACGTACCTGTGTATAATGAGAGGGTTTTGTCCTCTAATTTATATTAGCAATGAGAGGCCAAAACTGAGGCTCTGCAGTAGACCAGCTTCTCGGAATGATTACAAAGACACACATTACTGCTGCTATGTCTGTAAATCTTGTTATGCTTTTCCCTCACCATGATCCCAGTTTAGCTGAGATCTGCTTCATTCATTAGATGAGACCTGTTTATAAGGTTGTGTAATTGAATCAGGTAAAGTCTGCAGGACCACAGCATTTTGTTGCCAAATATGACTGGTAAGTTACTTACATCAAATTACAAGTGCATGGCATGATTGGAGACTATTCCTGTCTGAATAAAGCTGGAAATTCCACCTCAGAAATTAAAAAAGCATATGAACAGAAATAGTGAACATCTCTCATCCATAGCATGAGTTTTTGCCTCACCTCTGAAACATTACTTATTTCTCTTGAAAGGTAGAAAAAAATAATTGGAATTGTGTGAGAGATTGCAGGCAGATATTTGTTACTCCTCAAAGAGATACCACCTTGATAACAATGACATAAATGTCTTTATTATAATTATTTACCATCATGTATATTCATTTCTATCCTGTCAGATAAACCAGAAATGTTGAGGAGAGCAGCAGTCCAATTTAGAATGGGAACAAACACTCTTTTCTCCTTTATTTTCTATTTTAAGGCCTGGTTATTTTCTGTACCTGAAGTTTTATCTGTCTGATTTTTAGATTGTTTGTTTGTTTTTTAACCTCGAGAACTTATCTTTTGTTCCATTCTTTGTCTAGATGTTGATATGTATCCTGACTATTAGGGAGATAAATACATATATATATATATATGTAAAAATGTTCTGAATTCCAGTAATAGTTTTGTCAGTGTTGCCTTTTGCTGACATTCCTTCATTAGCTGTGCCTCCTCTCTGTGCTGGTGAATTGTCCCTGTAAGAAAGGGTGTTGGTTTGGCTGGAGTCTCTGTGAGTTGAGTGGTGTGAGGCAGCAGCAGCCTGACAGTGAAGAGGAGGATGCTTGGACAGCCTGTGCATCCTTCTCACTTGGTGGGAGTGGGTTTCCTGGTTTTATGATGCTCTCCCTGCTGTGGTGACTCTGCCACCCTGGGCACCCGGGCAGAGCTGCAGTCCCTGTGGTGACAGTGGCACTGGAGCTGTCACAGCCCTGCTCTGCACAGGAGCTCCCAAACTCAGGCTCTGGGATCTCCTCACCAGCTCCTGAGCTCTTCAATCTGCTCCACTTCCTTTACTTTGGAGAGAATCTGAATCTCACATAGATCAGATATCTTATATCCGTGTTGATATCCATCAATTAATGCATATTGAGATTCCTATGGTGGCATAAAACTTGGAGGAAAAAATTAACTTACGGACGTGGTTTTGTTTGTTTTTGTTTTTCAGGCAAAGAATCCCCTCCAAAAATGTGTATTACTACCGCTGCCCAGACCACAGGAAGAACTATGTCATGTCCTTTGCTTTTTGCTTCGACCGAGAGGACGACACTTACCAGTTTGCCTACTGCTACCCCTACACCTACACTCGCCTTCAGCACTACCTGGACAACCTCCAGAGGAGGAACATGGACTACTTCTGCAGGGAACTGCTGGGGCTCAGCGTGGTAAGTACCAGCAGGTTCATTATGGATGTCTATCCACCCTTCAGTGCTTCCAGACTATCATTCATCATCCTTGCTAAAGCACCCACATACATATATTTGTTTTCTTGCTATCAATGACACGGGAGGAAATGTACCTGCATGGTGAAATATAGGCAAATGCTAATTTAATTTCACATAAAATATTTCTTTTGCGATAGTCAAGGCAATGCTAGATTCCGGTGTAGGATCAGTTCACCTCTAAAGACATTAAAAGATGAAACTGAAACAGCTTTATTGAGGAAATGTGATTTTTAGAGTACTCTGACCATTTGTCTTTCTGGAAGTGCTTTTTTGTTCAGAAAGAAATATGGCTTTTTTGACCCAGAAGATAACTTTTCTTGGTAAAATAATGCAAAACATGCACAAAACAGCTCTTTTCTCTTAAAAAATTGTGCTTTGGTCATTTGCAATTAGAAGGGATTTAGTGGTCTCTGTGTAGATCCTAATGGCCATATAAAATGAGGTGTCATAGTTCATCTGGAGCAGGAGAGAGAGTTAATGGTAAGGCTGAAGTTCTGTTCACTTTGTTATAATGTTCCTCTGAAATGTTCCTTGTCCAGGGAATTTGGAAAGCATGACTCAGCCACTCCCATGTCAACTCAGAAATCATCAGATTAAAAAATAATAGCTCAAGTCTCTTTTCTCTTTTTTTTTTTTTTTTTTTTTTTTTTTTTTTTTTTTTTTTTTTTTTTTTTTTTTTTTTTTTTTTTTTTTTTTTTTTTTTTACTTTTTCTTTCTCAGACTTTATAATGCACTTGTACCACTCTTAATCTTTTCTCTGAGATTTGATTTGGTCTAAACTTGTAGTGTGTGTTTCAGAATCAGAAAGCTGTGAAGGTTGCTGATCCCAGCAGCAGGGGCTTTGAAAAGAAACCCAGAATATACTGTGAACATCAAAATGAAATGCCCTGCACTGAAACAAATGAAAGGCTTCCACCATTAAAGCAGGCCATTGAGATTCCTATGGTGGCATAAAGCTTGGAGGAAAAAATTAACTTACAGACAAAAGTAAAAACAAAATTAACAAAAGAAGTAGTTTTGTAACGCTTTTTGTAGGTTAAGTACAGTTCTTGTTCTAAAGATGACTATTGCATATCCATGAACTGGCATTAATTATTAATCATTCCAATTAGGGGGACAAACAATTATAAGAGAAAGGGGTATTAAAAAATAGAAAAGTAAAATCTGCAGAGGCTGGGCAGAAAGAGCACTATCATCTTAATGTGTGTAGGGCTTTAATTATTAATCTTAGAGGACAGAGCTGTCATTAATTCTATAATGAAACTGAATTTGTTTCCTTTCACTCTGAAACTAGTGTATAAACAGTCTCATTTGCATATTCATCAAACCTCTGATCTGACTGATTAAAACACAGAGATTGAAGGATTTGTCTTTTATCTGCATTTTGACAGACAGAGCTATACTCTTAAATCTTGTTAACATTGTGTTACCAGTAGTTGCTAAATATTATTTTTCATATTTCAGCACACTAAACAAACAGATGCCACTCAAAATGTGGCAGGAAATGTGCTGTGTATAAGTCCTGCTTTTATATCTATATGTACACACACAGTATGTTTTGCAGAAATTGATATGGTAACATTTTGCAGCTCACCAAGCTGTATAAAAAAGCTTCTGAATCAGGCTCATGCTGTAATCTTTGTGAGCAACATTACAATCTCAGAGCATTTCTGGCTTTTCTCCACACACAACTGTCCTAGAACAGCTTGGTAATTTAATGTCTTTGCTGAGCTTGAATAGACAATTTCCATAAGTTCTCTGCGAGTTAAATATTTTAACATAGAGCTTTGTTGCTATCATACATCTTTAAATGGTGAAAAACAGGATCCTTCATTCTTCACTGCACAGTGCTCCATAAAAGCAGAAGCTGGCTGTACTTTGGAGAATTGCGTGCCATATAGGATAGATTTAGAGCTGAGAAAGAGAGCTCTGTCCCTGCCCTGGCCCCTTATGTAAGATAAGAGGAATCAGATTGGCATAAAGAGGCCCTCAGAAGCTCTATTCCTGGCCGAGGGACCATACCCCTGGCAGCACATGGTGAAAGGTATTTTAAAGATGCCGTCTGAGGACAAACTCTGGAGTCCTCATGCTGGGCTGAGGGGGGAGAACATGGAAGGGAAAGGCTGCAGCACATCTGTCCAGCTGCCACGCAGCTGCTGGTCCCCTCGGGGTCATTCCAGGGGAATTTCACAGCCCCCTCCTGCAGTCTGTGACTGGGAGGATGGGGAAGTGTTTGAAACTATTTCACTTCTCCTGGATTATGTGGTTTTGAGCTGCGTCTCTTGGAGATGGCAGAATCTCACCACAGATCTTTGGAGATGTTTTGGTGTTTTATTTATTTATTTATTTATTTATTTATTTATTTTGTTGTGGAAAAGTAAAACTCCAGTCACAAGAAGCCATGCCTAGAGGATTACTCCTGGAGGCTTTCTGAGTGCACATTTTGCTGCATATAATGTTTTCAAGGCAATCTAATTTCTAATCTAATTTCATATCTTCTCTAAAGAAAGTGCTCTGCCTCCGTTAACTCCTGAAATACTATCAGTAATTCTATGAAAATTGAAAGTGAAATATCGGTATGGGACATGTAATTGTCATTAGGATGGAGAATGACAAAATGGTTCAGAGCCAAATGGCAAAGTTTCCCATTCTCATTTAAATGGATAACTTAGCTGTACTATTTCTGACCTTTTAATGCTTATATTCTTTACTTCAGAGAGCTATCCCACATTCTAGATGTGCCAAATGTTCTTGAAAATAGTCTCTCCTGCGAGTGAGCTGAGATGGCCACTCAGGTGCCATTTTAACTACTGTATTCATTCTGCTGTTATTGGCCTTGGATAACTTCAGATTTTCTTTGGTTTGCCCCAACAGATCAGAAGTTCAAAATCTGTGAGCACTTTTTCAAATTGTGGAATTAATTTTTTGCATATTAATGATGTGAATCTCCTCTCAGCAAATACTATGCATTATTTCACAGCACAAATATTATAATAATAATAATTTAATTATAATTAGTTAATAAATTATAAATTAGTTAATTTATAACTCTTATAATAATAATAATTTAAAACTATTTTTATATTTCTGTGAAAATATAAGCACAGGCACATTTTACATTACAGGACTTATTTTATGATATTTATTCAGTCTCACGTACAAAGCTATGTGTGTAGCATTATAGCCAATTCTTAAGAGTTGGCAAAATTTTGGAGTGTATTGTCATTTGAAGCTGCTAGTTCAAATTGTGTGTGATTGAAGTGTGTGGACAATTGATGAGACCTGTACCTCCACCAGTATTCCATGGACAGGCATAATAAATTAAATGAGCTTTGGAAAGCCTGGCTCAACTCCTACAGCCCACTTTACAAATTGACACTGGCTGGGCATTATTTTCATTACTCACTCCAAAGAGAACCAGGATTAATCAGAGCCAGATACTTCCTTTCACTCCATTAGGCAATGGTGCTTCCAAATTACACTTGAGGAGAATTGTGACTGCACATACAAACCACGAGCCTCAAAGGGACTTGCAGAGTACACAGAGATTGGAATATGGAATTCTGTTAAATTAAATATTAAACACACATATTTTAAAACAAGAAGGCAATATGTCTAATGTAGGGCTCTGTAAATGAGCCGATCTCTTAAGTCAGGTATGGAACACTGAAAGACACAGGCTGCAGCACAGAGTGCTTCCTCCTGCCTCCACACCACTTTGGGCTGTGCTTTTAATTTACATGAGTTACTCCTGATTCATGCTGGTACAGAGAGAAGCAGAATGATGCCCTAAGCCTGTGAAACTGCACACCAGATGTCACATCGCCGCTTCGCTGACCAAATTTCCTTTATTTACTGACTAAATGACTTCGTACCCCAGTAAAAATACTTGATCGGTTCTACCACTTTCTACTGGTCCATTTTTAACTGCTCAGTTATGAACGTTTTAAAGCATGAAGCAAAGAAAATAGGCAGTTTTTCTAAGGTTAAAATTCCCATTTCTGCATTCAACTCTGGGTTATGTAATAACAGCTCTGTAAAAGAAAAGTATACTCTTGGTCTTTGGAAAAAAATTGAAGTTACAGGCTTCTGTGTAATGTAATGTACCTCTGAAATCCTGTTTGTGTCAGATACTGTATTTTCCAATGGATTTGACTATAACTAGGTTGAAATGTCATGTAAATGTAATTTGTGGCAATTTACTTGGCCTGAAAAAGGCCACAGAAATAGTGCTTAGGAAAAGTAAATCCCCTTTCTCATTTCTCAGTAGTTTAAAAGTGCAGCTATGTATATGTTCAGGACACATTATCTTTATGCAGTGGTGTATTTTTTACTCCTATAGTGATGCTGTTCCCAAAACATTCGTAATATGGATGTCATCCCAACACTGTATGTGAGATTTTAAATGTTCTTACAGCTATTTTCTTAGCTGGATTGGATACCAGCAGAAGTAGAGTTAGACCTAAAAATAACACCACCAGCAGTTCTTTCCAAAATAAAATATGATTTATAGCATATAATAGCACAGTGTGCTACTGGGGAAATTATATAAATAACATGAAAAATTACAGGGGACTATTTTATATCATCAGTTTTAAGGAAAATTTCTTTGTTACAATTTAAAGGGAGTTCTGGGAGATAACCTGGCCTGTGGAGCCAGAGTAGGAAGGATAGGTGAAATGATACTACTGAATTTTGCCATCTGTCTGTAGGATATATACAGGAGTTCATGGTAAAACCAAGAAATACTTTGGTGTAAGTTCACAACAATATATAGTTTTTGAAAAAAACAAACAATAAAATCATCATTTGCAGTTAATATCATGCAAGGTTACTAAATGCATAAGCTGGACATTTCTTAAATTACAGAAAGAACACTGTTAGATGAAGTAAAATAATTTCTAGAAAGATTTGCATTAACCACTCTTTATCTAATTATG